AAAAAAAAAAAAAAAAAAAAGAAGAAAAGAAAATGAAGCATAAATCTGGAGGACTCATACTTCCTAGTTTCAAAACTTACTACAAAGCTACAGTAATAAAAACAATATGGTACTGGCATAAAGGCAGGTATATAATGAAATCGAATAGATAGTCCAGAAATAAACCCTCGAATATATGGTCAAACAATTTTGTGACAAGACAGTTCGATGAGAAAAGGACAATGTTTCCAACAAACAATGCTGGGAAAACTGAATATCCACATATAAAAAAATTATATTGGACCCTTACCTAACACCCTACACAAAAACTAACTTTAAATGGTTCAAAGACCCAAGTATAAAACTCTTAGAAGAAAACACAGGGCAAAAGTTTCAAGTCATTGGATGTGACCATGGTTTCTTGGATATGACACCAAAGGCACAGGCAGTAAAAGAAAACACTGGCAAATTGGACTTCATGAAAATGAAAAATGTCGTTCATCAAAAGACAGTGTTAACAGGCCAGGTGAGGTGGCTCACGCCTGTAATCCCAGCACTTTGGGAGGCGGAGGCAGGAGGATCACTTGAGGTCAGGCGTTCAAGACCAGCCTGGGCAACATGGCAAAACCCCATCTCTACAAAAACACAAAAATTAGCCAGGTGTGGTGGCATGTCTGTAATCCCAGCTGCTTGGGAGGCTGAGGCAGGAAAATCGCTTGAAACCAGGATCCAGAGGCTGCAGTGAGCCAAGATCACACCACTGCATTTCAGCCTGGATGACAAAGCGAGACTATGTCTCGAGAGGAAAAACAAAACAAAACAAAACAAAACAAAAACGAGACCAGCCTGACCAACACGGAGAAATCCCATCTCCACGAAAAATACAAAATTAGCTGGGTGTGGTGGCACATGCCTGTAATCTCAGCTACTCAGGAGGCTGAGGCAGGAGAATTGCTTGAACTCAGGAGGCAGAGGTTGTGATGAGCCAAGATTGCACCACTGAAACTCCGTCTCAAAACAAAAACAAAAACAAAAACAAACAAACAAACAAACAAAAGGACAGTATTAGAGTAAAAAGCAACCCAAAGAATGGAAGAAAGCATTTTCTCTCATGGATCCAGACTATTTAGGGAACTCCCAAAACTCAACAACAAAATAC